GTCTAGAGGCTTCGCCAGCCAGTACACGGCATTCCAGGACAATGGGGTAAAGACTGCAAAGAAAACTCAAACAAGTTCCAAAGGTGTGAGCACTTTCCTCATGAAATACAGAGGCTGAGTAAGAAGCTGTAAGAGACCTAAAGCACTAGGAAGCCTGTTCCCGGATGCCACTACCTCCAGCAAATAATAACATATGTTAAAACTCCAGTTGTTCTTAACAGTGAAAGACTGGCCACCGAGATGACCCTCTGGTGGGCCCTGGGTTGTCCTCACAGTGGATTAAAATTGGTCCTGGAGTGCTTCATAAATTGAGATCACGGTTTGCTGCTTCCTAATTTGCGGTTATTCCTTTCTTTCTGGGTCTCTCTGTCACCTTTCTGGCCACCATCAGCAAAAGTCCTTTCCTGTTTGCGTCAACGGTCATTCACAAACAGGGATGTGCTGTGCCATTTCGTGGCGCGGTGAGCTAGAAACCTGCTGCTTAAAACATCTGATAAACTACTTGGCTGGTATGAGCAAGGCCCTGGAACCCCAGCACCATTTAGACACCAAACAACAACACCCTTTACATTAAAAATAATTGATGTTTCAAATCCCTCCCCCCCTCAAAAAAAAGCATGCCAAAAAAGAGGGTAAAGAATCTTGGAGTAGAAGTCACTAGAACTCATGGTGAACCCCTAATCAGGTTCCTCATTTTCCCTTGAGTTTTAGTTTCTGAACTGATAAAGGGAGAATACTTTTTAAAATGAGAAACTGCATTATAAAAGTACATAGCGATGTATATCCAAGCATGTATGCACACATATATAAGTAGACATACATTGCTGAATCTGCAATCCATAGTTTTGTTTTTGTTTGACATTTATATGAATGTGCTTAAATGCATAAGATACAATGTGTGTAATGATCAAGTCAGAATAACCGATACTTCCATCTCCCTAAACACGCGTCATATTTATCATTTTGTTGTCAACCTTTAAACTCCTCTCTTCTAATTCTTTATATGAATGTTTATATGCCCTAACATAGATCAGTTAATCTATGTTAGTTGTCAAAACTCATGATAAACTAGTGGAGTCAAGACCCATACTTGAGTTAAACCACATGGACAAACAGAGACTTTGGCCCAGAATTTTCTGTTCTTTAGCTGTGAATATAATGACCTTGAATATAATGGAGGGATGGAGGACTGGTGATGAAGTATTCTGAAGGCCCATCTAGGTTCACGCTGGAAAGAATGAAAGGCAGTGTGAAGAAATAGGAATAAAAAGCATTTAAACAGTGGAAACTAACTAAAGTCTGTTAAACATTATGCCTTTGAAGGATTTCAAAAGGCTTTCACAGGACCCTGAGTTAGTTCTTTAGAGAGTATATGATTATTTAAAAAAAAAAACAAAAAACAAAAAACAAAAAGCCTTTCCCGTTCTCAGGTCCCCTGTTTTGTCATGGGGTCTCTTCTTCCAGGAGTTCCTGCCATCTTGATGCCTCTGACATGAGGCCTTCACTGCAGCTGGCACCAGGCCATTTGGCTCTCCAGGTTCCAAAACTGTGAGCTGCATAAACTTATTTTCCTTCCAAATCACCTCAGTTATTTCATGAGAGCAACAGAAACAGCCCACATTCCTCAGGCCTGGGGATGAAAAGAGTGTAGTTCTTTTCCATGGTGTTCAAAGCTAGTGTTCCCTGTTTAGACCAATTACAGATTACAGACGTTCATCCCCAAGGACCACGCTTTTTTTCCTTTTTGTACTATTTTTATTAAGTCTTTGAGAATTCCATACAATGTATTTTGAGAATATTTACCACCTTCCAGTTTTTCCCCTTATCACCCTCCAGCTCTTCCCATCCAACTTTGAGAAAGCTGCTTCTCCTCCTGCTCCTTCTTCTTCCTTCCTTTCTTTCTTTTCCCCATCTAGCCCAGTTTTTGTTGCCCAGCTAGTCTTGTGGTTGGGGCCTGGCCTCATCTGTAGCCAGCCTATCAGGGAGACACATCTTTAAGGAAACTGACTCTCCTTCCAGTAACTATCCAGTGTCAACAGTCCTTCAGCTAATCATGGGATTACAAACCTCCCTTCCCAGTGTATGTTGGGATTTTGTCTGGCTGGAGGATCTTTCAAAAGTCTTGTGCAAGCTATCACAATTGCTGTGAGTTCATATGTACATCTTTCCTGTTGGGTCTGGAAAACACTGTTTCCTTCATGTTACCAATCACTTCTAGCTCTTACGACCTTTCTGTTCCCTCTTCCAACAATATCCCTGAGCCTTGAGAGGATGGTGTGTGGTGGTTTGAATAAAAATGATCCCCATAGGTTCATAGGGACTGGCACTATCAGGAGGTGCAGCTATGGACCTGGGAGTAGGGGAGGCTTTGTTGGAGGAAGTATGTCACTGGAGGAAGGGTGTAAGGTTTCAGAAGCTCAAGCCAGGCCCAGTGGTGTATTCTCTCTTCCTGCTGCCTTCAGATCAAGATGTAGAACTCTCAGGTCCTTTTCCAGTACGGGGTCAACCTGCACACCACCATGTTTCCTGCCATGGTAATAATGGACTAAACCTCTGAAACTGCAAGTCAGCCTCAATTAACTGTTTTCCTTTGTAAGAGTTGTCGTGGTCATGGTGTCTCACAGCAATAGAACTCCCAACTAAGACAGAAGCTGGTGCAGCGAACTGGGGTGTACCTGTGACAGCTATGCATGCTTTTGTTTGGAAGAATGTGGACTTTGGAAATTTGCATTAGAAAAGCAGTTGGATGCTTTAAGTGGTGCTTAATGGCCCATCCTAGTGTGGGCCCAGCTCAAGAAGTTTCCAAGGAGAAAAATATTACAATGTGGCCTAGAGACCATTCTTCTGATATTTTGGACACACACACACACACACACACACACACACACACACACACGGCTGCTTTTTGCCCTTATCTGAAAAGTCTGCCTGGGGCTGATTTGAAGAGTATTAGATTAGTTGTGTTGACTAAGGAAATTTCAAAACAGCCTAGTATTGACTTTGTTGTGTGGTTATTGCTGCTCACTCTTATGAAGATCTATAATGAAGAGGAGCAAGCTGAGCAAGGAAAAATACAAAATGTACAGTTCCAGGAGAAAAGGGGCACAGGAAGGGGAATGAAACTAAACCCTGTGCTCAAGGAGATAAACAGATTAAGGAAAAGTCTGATGTTAAATGGAATGAACAGAGTGGTAACCTCAGAGCAAGTTAAACTTCAATTTGTGAAAATTAATTAAAGAACAGCTGAGGGCCTGGCATGGTGGCACATGCCCTTAATCCAAGAATTGAGAGGCTGAGGCGGGCCGATTTTGAGGTGAGCCTGGTCTACAGAGAGAGAAAGCTGGTGAAGATGTAATTAAAGGATAGGGCAATGTTCCAGACTCAGCAAGTAGCAGAACTTAGAAGCTCTGGCAATGTGGTTCTGGCTCTAGAGTCAAGGATAAAAAAAAGGGGTTATGGAATCTCCCTCCAAGAATAAGGAAAGCCACTGAGGCCAGCGTGTGGCAGGAAATTCCTGAATGGAGGCCTAGAGAGGCCATCTGGATTGCCTCAGAGACCCCAAGATGTTGGAGATGCCGGAGTCGTGGGATACCGGCTAAGGAAAGCTGCTAATGGAGTGGAACCAGCCCAAGAGAAAGAAGCATCTTGCAGTCAACAAAGCTGAAAGGAGCTGAAGATGTGAAGACATGGAGATGCAGAGTTTGGAGTTTGCCCAGCTGGTTTTCAGGCTTGCTTTGGTCCAGTATTTCCTCACTATGCTCTCTTTCATCTATTTTGGAATTGTAATGTATATCCTATGTCACTGTATGTTGGAAGTATGTGGTCTGCTTTTTCGATTTTACAGAGAATTATAGTTAAGAGAATGATGACTCTCTTATAGTTATGAGTCTCAGAAGAGGGTTTGAACTTTTAAAAGGGTTTGAGACTGTTATAGACTCTGAGGACTTTTGAAGTTGGACTAAATGCATTTTTTCATTATGATACGGGACTACAGGCCTATGGGGGCCAGGGAGTGGAATGTGGTGGTTTGAATTAAAAGGCCCCCAATAGGCTCACAGGGAGTGGCAATATTAGGAGATAGCCCTATTGGAGTAGGTGTGGCTTTGAAGGAAATGGACCATTAGCAGGTGGGCTTTGAGGTCTAGAAGCTCAAGCCAGGTCTAGTGTCTTACAGTCACTTCCTGCTGCCTTCAGACCAAGATGTAGAACTCTCAGCTCTTTCTCCAGCACCATGTCTGCCTGCATGTCATGATGCTTCCTGCCATGACAATAACGGACTAAATCTCTGAACTGTAAGTCAGTCCTAATTAAATGTTTTCCTTTATAAGAGCTGCTGTGTTCCCGTTGTCTGTTCACAGCAATAAAACTCTAAGTAAGACACGGTGTCATACGGCCAACAGTGGAGTCAGGACTCTTACCCAGATAAGCTTACTTGCTGTCTTAACCAATGTGCTACCTGCCTAGGAGGAACTACCCATGAGCAGACACTTTCCTAGCCCACCACGGAAAGATTATGCAACAACACTGTGAGGGGTCCCAGCCCATGAAATGCAGAAATCCAGGCCAGTAATATGGCTCAGCAGGTGTAAAGGCCCTCACCACCAAGACTGATGACTTGAGCTAGATTCCTGAAACTCACAGGGTGGAAACAAAAAACTAGCTTCCACACGTTGTTCTCTGACCTCCACAAATGTGCCACACTGTGTGTGCATATTTAAACAATACACACAACAGCCAAATAAACACATGTAAAAAAATAAATAAATAAAAGGAAATACAGAAATTATCTCCCAACAGTATCCAAAAGGATACCGACAAGTAATAACTAATAATTCTTTGAAATACTGGAGATATGCTACCATACACACATGAATATAAATAAATAAATATATATATATATATATATATGCCTTGCTATTTTACAATACCAATAATATAAATATGAACCAATTTGGTTGCCCTGAAGTTCTTGTATTAAATCAAAAGCATGCAGCACTTACCTGGAGGATTTTATTGGCTGTTATTACCGGAGCCTCGTCATTTACAGACTCAATAGTCACAAAAAGAGTCTGAGGCAGACTCTGTTTCCCAAGCTCGGAGCTGTTTGCCAAGACGGTGAGACTGTCCAGAAACTCCTCATTGCCATTATGAACGTAGTAAATCAACTTCTGCTCCACCTGAAACCAAAACCAACAAAACCACCAACCAGCTGAAACGCAAACCCAAACCATGACTGAGCTGCTCAAAAGGAAGTCCCACTTAAGGATCTCCCTAGTGCACAGAAGTATGTCTCCATCCCATGAAGTCTGCGTGGGCACCGGAGTGGGAACTGTGATGGATGGCATCACACTCCATCCTCAAAATAAGTGAAATAGCACTTCAACCTAGGAATAGGTTTAAGGAAAAAGAGAAATGCACTGTGGTGTGTTAATGAGAATGCTCGTTGATAGCAGAAGACTTGAGCTTAAATGCCTCTTCCAACAGCAACGCGTGCTGAACATGCACAACCTGGCTTCCTACCCACGGGACACCACAATAAAGCTCATTTTAGTTGCCTATTTAAAGTGACTAAGTTTTGGAGGTTTTGACTGTTTTGTTTGACATGTCAAACTGTTAAATTTAGGCTGCCCTGAGGTTCCATTTCTCTTCCTTGGAAACATACGGATCAGGGCAACTATTAAGATCCCTTGAATGTATTTTATGAGCTAAGAAGGCTTTCTTGCCTTAACTGTTCTCTGTGTCTGAGATGATGTGTGATTGTGAGTTTAACTGTCAATTTGAAAAAATAAAATCTAGATGCACCTTGAAAAGAGAGTCTCAATGAGTGATTGTCTCCATTGGGTTGGCCAGTGGACATGTCTCTGGAGGCTTTCAATTAAGCTCACTGATTTAGGGAGACCCAACCCACTGTGGGTAGCACCATTCCCTAGGCAGGGGGTCCTGAACTATTTAAGGGTCAAGAACAGAGGTAAACATAAGCAAGCAGCATGCATGTCTTTATTTCTCTCTGCTCTTGATTACGTATGTGATGCAACTTCCACAGTAACTGCCCTGCTATGATGGACTCTATGTAACCTGGAATATGCTGCTATAAACCCTTTTATCATAGCAACAGAACTGTAACAAAGACAACCTGTTACCTCCTGATCTTCATAATAAATCATGTGTCTCTTAAGCTAATATTTATCTCCTGTGGACAGACTATCATGGAATACATACAATCAAGTTATTCTACCATATAAGATCTCTTTCACAGTAATAAAGCAAATGTAAGTAATCTAATCCCCCATTAGATTCCATCTTTTTCCTTTCAATTCTGAAATGGCCACTGGATGATTTAGTTATTCCTCTTTGATTTGTAGTAACCAAATTATAAAATTCCTTACCTCTCTACTGGAACCACTGAAGATTACAGTTCAGCGCCAGAGATGAAGAGAATGTTCAAGCTAAATGGGAATTTAGCTACGACCCAAACACAACAGCAAGAACTCCCAATGCCCCCGAGGAATTGTTGGAGTTCTGAAAAAGTCTCTGGGGCTGTGTTTGTTCTGACAAAATTTAGCCAAAAATTTTAGCAGTTTAACTTTACCCATTCCTGTGGTGGACTTCCTTTGAGCCAAGTTTTTTGATCTTACAGGGGTGTTTCTGACGAGGGTTGAAAAGTTAGGACCTCAAGAGGAAATCATGGCCACTCCAACACAGGTGCTATGAGAATTTTCTTGGAGTTCTGTGGGTTGAAGATTCCAGATAATAGGCCTAACCTCAGATTCCTAGAATATCCTGTGTTGAGCTACTTGTGAACAAACAAGGAAAGACACTGATCACAAGACGAGAACTCAGAGGTAAAAGCTCTTTAGAGACATGGACAGTGCTCACTTCTAGGACACTTTTCCAGGAGAAATATACACTCCCCAAATTACATACCCTCTAATGAGGAATTTGTCCCCAAATCCCAGACCTTTTAATGATATTTGGCTGAAAGTTGAGAAAAGGTGTGTCTATTCCTACCTTTTGAAAGCCAGAAAAACATCCACTGATCTGATAGAGCCCCACCACCTCCTAGCTCCCCTCTCTGCTTTACTCACTTTTTCTATAGTATTCTCCTTTTTCCAACATGGATTTCTTGTCTCTCTGCCTCCCTCCTTCCCCTTCCTGGGGGAGAAAACTCCATAAGGAGAGGAGTAGCTGTTTGATTGGTTCACTATTTCATCCCCATCACCCAGGCCACAAGATACTCACAAACTTATCTGTAGTGAGAGTTTTTGTTTTCTTTAAAAACACAGAAATGTTCTAGGAATATGATTTTGTTTTAATCCCAGGAGTGGGGCGTGGGGCCTGCTTCAGATTGTCCACAGCAGCTGACTATGATTTGCCTTGCGCTCTAGCAGGGGCGTGATTTTGCCAGCTAAGGACAGTTTACGTTTAGAACTCTGGGGGCTCTTCAGAGAGTGTAAATGCTAGAGCCCCAAGAGGGCTCGGGGTGGGGGTGAACCCCCTGCTGCTCTGCTGCTGGTTGCTCTTGGTTGTTGGAGACATCTTGATAGCGAGGATAAATCTCACCCCAAGGAACCTGACACCCCTAACCAGCAGAAAGTAGTCTAATGATGTAGACATTTCCCCCTCTGACCTTCTTTCTCTCCTACCTAGTGTTGTGTGTGGGGAGGCTTGGAAGGGATAGAGGTGGTATAGGGAGGTTAGAAAAATGAACCCCATAAAGTAGCCCAAAGCCCAGCTACACTTACTGTTGAACAAATGAAGCCAGAGACTCTCCACTAAGACACTAGGATTAGTGTCCCTTGGAGTGAAAATGGCAAGATCTCAAAACCTAGAGACCTTCACATGACGGATTGCCTGACACACAGGTTCATGCAATCTTGCCTCACGTCTGTGAGGAGGCTGCATGATAACACAGATACCCCAGGAAATGTTGCCTCCACACACATATTTCAACAAACAATTCTCCTATGAACATGTCAGTCGCTGGCTCGACTGAGTCAGGACCCAGAGTACATGAGATAAAAGGCATTTGATTCAAGTTACACCAAAGCAGAAGGCCGCCACTGGTGGGTTTCCCAGACTTTGAGATGGAAGCCATGACTGAACAATCCCTTCATGATGAGGGAAAATGATCATCTTCCCTGGGTCACGGGGAGAAGCTGCTTTCCTATTCTCTGCATCCTGTTTCTACGTGGCTTCCTAATGACACCTGGTTAAGCCTAGCCTCCTTGACAGCTGAGGTAGACTATACTACCCACAGAGGTAGGAACCCTCTACATTTTGCCTCGAACAACCTCTGCCCCTCCTCTGCCTGTGGATTACTCCTCGGCTACCCAGGTGGCCTCTCATCTCTCAGGCCTCCACACCCTTGGCTGCGCTGCTCATTTAACTTGTACTGCCTTTTTCTGGTTCCTAATCTGTTACTTTCATGTTCGTTATCTAACTCCTCAAAGTCTAGATTAAACATTGTCCCTTTGCAAAGAGTTATTTATGATCTTCTCTCTGCTCTCCAATTAGAATTGGATATGCCAGTTCTGTAGTCCTACAACACTGCTGTGAAAACACAACACAAGAGACGAGAAGAGAGCAACCCCATTAAAGACGAAGCATCTGGCTCCTCCACAGCATTTCTTGAGGCAATGAGTATGTTTTAGTTACCATGGTAACACACACTAACTCAAACAGAGCAAGCCTGAAGTAAGTGGATTTGAATCCACTAAGAACCCCATGATTTTGATTTTCAAGTTTTTATTTAATTTTATGTTTGGGTGCCTTGCCTGTGTGTATGTCTCTGTACCACCTGCATGCCTGACTGCCATATCAGGTCCCTTAGAACCAGAGTCACAGATTGTTGTGAGCTGGGAACTGAACCCGGGTCCTCTGCAAGAATAATCAGTGCTCTTAACTGCTGAGCCAGTGCTCCAGCCCCCGACCTGAAATTCTTAAATGTAAAATAAAGCAACATACATGTGTCTTTAGCAGAAGAGGCGAAGGCAGGCAAAGATAGTAGCAGGTCTGTTTGTGGTTTCCAATTAAAGAGTCCGCATTGCTAGGACTTTAAAAGAAAGATCTCCTGACTAATTTTCAAAGTTAAAAAAAAATGGTGGCAATCATTCATTTATTCATGATAAGAAGGCAAAGCCTAACAATTAAGACCAAAGCAAAGAAGCAGATAGCAACCTTGAGTTGACTTTGGTTATTTTATCTGCCCTCATCTGCATGCCAGAGGGACAGTTACATGCAACCCGCTGATTGCCAGGACTGAGCCACTTGTGACCCGAGTTTAGCCTATAGTATGTTCTCTGTAAAACACCTGGTAGTTGGATGAAGGGATACATGAGTGAAATATGTTCACCAAGGATGAAGTAGCTGGGTGTTCCTGTATTAGTGAGAAGGACAGGGCGATCATGTGGAGATGGACAGTTAGGTGACACAGTCAATTTATGGTATACGGGCAAAAGTCCAAAGACTATAACGAAAGAGACAAAGTTCAAGGGAGGCTGACAACCTCTCTTTTAAATATTTAAAAGGTTTATGATGGGAGAAATGGTTTTCTCTGGGAATAATGCCTGCATTTTCAACCGAGCAGGGATCTAATAGACGTTTTCTAAATTCAGGTCTGTAAAAAGAAACGTTGAAGTGTTTTTAAACTGCAGAGGTCCCTCTTAGGAAGTGGTAAGTATAGAAGCCATCCCTGAAGATGCTCAGGCAATGTTAACGTGGTCTTCACAGGGACGCTGCAGATGGGCTGGTAGCATCTTGTGGGATGCTGGACTCCAAGGTCCCATCACCCCTAAAGCCTGTGAGTCTAAGGGAGGAGGGCCAATTCCAGCCTCCCCTGACACAACATACTGAACTATATCAACTGAGATGTATTACCTGTTTCCTGGAAAATTTCATTAGCTTCACTCTTGGAAACTTGGAGCTTTCAACGTAACCATGCTTTGGTGGCTCGAGGAGAACAAATTCGCAGGCGAGACTCTCAAAATACTTGCTCGGGATCCGGAGGTGATCCTGCAGAAGAGCTCTGGAGCCCCCTTCTTGAACTGTGAGATTCTGCACCTCCAGAGGTATCCACCTCGGGATGATATCCAAGAGCATCTCCACTCTCCCGACCACCTGGGAGTCCTTGATCACTTCCAGGGTGAACTGATCCTTTTGTTGGCCGGGAGCTGTCTGTATATAGAGGACATTGCCATCGTCAATGTCCTGCTGGGTGAAGCTCAGCGGGGACTTCCCATCTGCTCCCACGCCGACGTCTTCTGCTGTGGATTTTTGGAGGTGTCCGTGCCTCGGTGGGGTTCTGACTACGAGCACTGCCTCTGAAGGGACACCTTCTTCATTCCCAGCCTTTCGGTCATAAACCACAACACACAGACACAGAAGAGAAGCATACGAAGAACTGTAAGAATCAAGGCCATTGGTAAACCAAATGGTTTCTCTTAATACCAACAAGTGGCTTCATTTACAAGCAGGGTTGTCACACAGCTTAAGACCAGGTCTGATCTAGGGCCCATGCCAATGGAATATCAGTTTTGCTCACTAAATAAATAAATAAATAAATAAATAAATAAATAAATAAATATTAAAGTCAACAGCAACTGAGTAGCTATGAAGTATTTACACACAGCAGTAAAACAACAACAACAAAAAAAAAAAAAAACCCAAATATTCCAAAAAAAATTTTAGGTAAAAGAATTAAACATTCTAAGGAGAGGGCTGGGGACTCCTCTAGCATCTAGCACATGCATGGTTTGATCCCTAGCACGACGGCAGGAGACTAATAAAAAGAAAGAATCAAGGATGGTGGAAGAGAGAACAGCTGGCTCAGAAAAATTTCACAACCGTGGAGGAAAGGGCTTTCCCCTTTTTTAGTTCTACTTTCACTAGCTCAGCATTCCTATACATGTTCATTTTATTGATTCAGCAAAGTCAATTTTGAAACTGTCTTGCCAACTCATTTACAGTCACAAGGGCAAACACGCCCCCTGGTGGTGAAACATTAACTCTCTAAGCTTGAAAAAGAATTGTGAAAAAGTTGGCGCCTTAGTCAAGGCTCGCTATTCACCGAACTGATTCATCTCTGACATTCCTGGTTTGTACCTGAAAGCAAGACCCTAAGGCAGGGTCAGAACAGCCTGCATGTGTGCCCAGCTTTGCCCATCCTACAGCCTAGAGGAGATTCCCCTAAAACTACAGCCTGGCCAAAGGGACCCACTGTGCCTACTTGGAAGTTTCAAGGTAGAAGCCTGAGGGAAATGTGTGGCTCTGCTCTCACCCTGGTACTACCAGGCTTCATCCATCAGCTCCAGGAAACTAAACAAGGCCACATCCAGAAATCACCAAGGAGACTGCCATGGTGTCCTCCGCTGTTTGGGAAATCCTTTTCCTGTCTATTACTACTTCCTCCCATCATGGATTAACCCATGTCACACAAAACATTGCTAGTACTGTTAGTAACAAATAAATAGAGAATCTCTTCACTTATCATACACTTCCCTCCCTTGATCCTAGTTTACGCTACACTAAGCAAGGGCACACCCATGATGGTGTGTGTAAACACAGCTTTAAAACAAGGCTGAACACTATGCAGATTTTATTTCCAAGTACTGGAAAGCTGGTAGGATCAAACCGAAAACCTCCTAACTTTTCGTCTCGGTGGCACATAAATACGTTTATAAGTGTGTGCACACACATGTATATTAGAACTATTCCCAATACCATGAAAGACACACACACACACACACACACACACACGTGTGGGAGGGGAGTAGAGATGGAGAGGATGTTCTCAGAAGCAAACAATCGTGAGCTCCTACTGGCCTAAGCCAATAAGAATGCTCAGTGCTTCGGACATCACGTACCTGGAGCCTTCCTCTACTCAGTTTTACTTGTTTTCCTTCTTCAACTCTAAGGCTCCTGCTGTACAGAGTCTGTGTGTGATGCTGGTGACCGTCCAAGGACACTTGAACACTGATGCTCACATCCAAGTAGGTGTCTTTAACTTTCACCGTCAGGTTAAACATATCAAAGTGGCCCTCGCCGTTGTGCCTATAAATCACGTGTCCCTGCTTCAGGTCATGCTGGGAAAACGAGTGAAACGCCGAATTGTTGACCAGGAGTCTGCCATGTTTGGGGGCTTGCAAGATGTGGAATTCAAACTCATGGTCTGTTCTGACATCTTGGTTTGTGGTGACGCTCAGGTTGGTTGTCGTGAGGCAGCTGTCCCTCCCTCTGGGTACGAGCAGACCTGTGTTGTTGACTATGTGGACATAGGCCTCTGACACGCTGACCTCGAAAAGGGATGACGTGTAATGGTCACCGTCTGTCACAAACAGCAGGAACCGAGCAGAGTCTGGGCCGCGATGCTGGAAGAGCACGCGCCCTTCCTCCAGGTCCTTCTGTCTGAACTGGTAGAGCTTCTGAGATGGCTCACTGGCCTTCACCAAATCTCCATTTGGTATGCCACGCCGAGTGTAGAGCAACTGGCCGTCGTCAAAATCAACGTCAGGGTCGTGGTAGCAGAGGTCTGCTAGCGTCAGTAAGCGCTGACTGTCCCGCACCACGTGGAAGACCTTATCTACCACACGCACTGGCTTCTCATCATTCTTCAACTCAACAGAAATGCTGACTTTGATTTCTGTAAACAGGTGCTCAGAGGCAAGGCTCCTGACCCCTCCCTGCTGGCCCAGACCTGTGGCAGAGGCCAAAACAAAGAATTCATCAGACTGTGTCTCAGAGTCATCGTGAACATATACCAGCCTTCCACCCACTATGTCTTCGTCTGTGAATCCAGTGATGCTATTGTCACTTCCCAGAGGAGGGGAGGAGCTGAGCAATTTCAGTTCCCCATGGCGAGGACTCTTGGTGACGTTATACTGGAAGACATGATTGTCCAGTGTTTGAACAAATAATTCTGACTGTGTAATTCCTGTCTGTTCTCCTTCTCTGACAAACAATCCAGTGTTCGTTAAAATGATACGTGTCTTATCTGTTTTAAAATTTATCCTGAAGGGATAATCTTTTGATTCTATGTTTTTTACAATAATTGAAAAGCGAAAAGTATCCTGTGAGTCTTTCATGGGCCACCCCTGGGGCTCATAGCTTACCTTAGAGTCTGTAATGTTTTTTTGGCTGAAAACAGAACTCGTTTTAAGAGCCCAATTGCCAAGCAGCAATTTTCCTTTCTCAGGTGGAATCAGTAACTTGAAATATATTTCCCTCTCAGCTACTTCCAGACTCCCCGTTGCAGCCTGCAAATGACCAGAATCCAGTACTTCCTTGTTTGCGCTGCTAATCTCTAGAGGGACATTTTTCAGAAGTGTCGGTTTCAGCCACTGCACAGTCACAGGAAACAGGAGCTCTTTGCTTACCCTTCCTTCTAGGCGGACTTGAAACTTAAAGCCATCTGTAGCGTTTTCATGCTGCGGTTCCTTGAATGAACTGTAGTATCGGATTCGACTCCGGTCAACGGAACGTTGAGAAAAGGTACTGACTTGTTTCCATTCTCCGTTGGATCCCCGGTGCTGAATTTGGCCAAACTGAGGTGGATGAGTGATGTCGTAGCGAGCGTCCATCTCATGCGGTCCGCCATTCACCTTCACTGACAAGTTGTTCCGAGTGATGAGAACGGCGCCGCCTTGCGGTACCACCACGCCGGTCCCATCGGCCACTTCAAAGTCCCAAGGAACAGCCTTGATCCGTAACACCACAGTATTGCTAACCAGCTCACCATCCGTTGCTCTCAGAACAATCCGAGAGTTTCGATGACCCCTGTGTGCATAGAAAATGTTGCCCTCTTGTAAATCCGCTTGCGTAAAACCACTGATGGGTCGCCCAGGGTCCTTGGCATGTTCTAAAAAGCCAGCATCTGCGTTGAAGGTGCTGAGAACCGAAAACCTGAGATGCTGAGAATCTGTGTCAGGATCTGACACCTGTATCACGCCGGGGGTCAGGCGTTGCTTGGTGTTCTCAAAGAGAAGCAAGGGCCCTTCTGGGAGCTTCAGGGAAGGGGGGTCATTCACCGGAAGGACAATAATGTTAAAAATGTGTGGAACAGGATCCTGCAGCTGGGATGGCACTGACTTGTTGCTACTAGAAAAAACCCAAAATGTGAAAGAATCCGTAGGCTCTTCTGCACCATCATGGACATACCACACGTTCCCATGCCTCAAATCTGATATAGTGAAAGTCCTCTCCATTTCTTGTGCGGGCCAAACATCTATTTGAAGGAACCCGTGAGCTGGCATTTGCTGTATTTTAAAGAGTGTCTGGGAATCATCAATGCCCAGACCCATTGAGTCCACGTTCACTTTGATGTGCCTTTGCCCCAGTAAGGCTCGTCCACCTTCCTGGACTTCTAACTTATTCAAAACCAAGAAACTAACAGTTTGACTTTTCAGAGAAGTGGATCTCGTAGCCGCAGTGGAAGTGGCTGGCCCTGGCTGGAGCAGGTCTTCCACAGCCACAGAAGGCTCTGTACCATGGACAGCCTCACCGGCACACCCAGCAGAAACGTCTTTGGAAACAAGTGCATCCCTTAATGCTCTCTTTTCCAGGTTGGCTTCCAAGGCTCTCAGGCAACCTTTCAGAGAGAGGCCTCGAGCAGATTTCCCAGGCACAAGTTCTAACCCCCTCACTGTCTCCCACATCCGGTTATCCAGGCCTCCCACGAACAGGGGGCCTTCAGATACAAACACTTGGCTCTGCAGGGGCAACGCCGCCCGCACCCCTCGTCCATCTACCGTGAGGTCCAGATGCCTCCCCGTGACTCTGAGTTGAAGAATGTGCCACTTGTTGTCGCTAACCAAGCTGAATGATGAAAGTTCCGTTTTTGTCTCGCCCCTTCCCACACGAGCCTTCAGCAGACCCTCATGGATTTCCAAGGCAACATAATTTCCCCCTCTGCCTGACTGAAATAAAAGCAAGGCTTGTGAGGTTCCAGTTCGCACAGCAAGCCTTAGTACCCCTTCGCCACGGACCTTCCATTCTGGAAAGGTGACATAGGACCTAGAGCTGAAAAAGCTAATAGCCTCATTCTTCCCAGCAAAAAACTCATCGTTACACCCCAGGGATACCTCATAAACCTTCTTAAAACCAGGGTAAGACCTGAGGGATGTCAGGATCTCCCTCTGGTTAAACACCACACCCTCCATGCAGCCGCGGAAGTTGGGGGTCTTTGTGTCCAGGTAAGGAGCACTGAGTTCCCCGCGACCTCCTACATAGATCCCATGGTGAAAGGTGAAGTTCTGCATCCCAGCAGCCAGCTGGCCAGCTGTCTCATAATGCTTGTCGATGACCAAGGACACGTTCTCCTTGCCATAGTACAGCTCCACCGAATGCCAAACCAAATTGTCCAGGTGGAGCCTTTGCTCAGAAAGGAGGATTGGTTCACTGGTGCCCACATTTATTTTCACCTAAAGGAGACGAGAGCCATAATTAGCGAACCTCATCAAGATGTTCATCTCTTGGTGACAGGGGGATGGGGTTGCTCTGAATTAACCTCCCTAAAACTCATGGCGAGGCTTAGATCCCCAACCCACCAGTGCTGAGAGGCGCTGAGGCCTCAAAGCCGTGATTAGGATGTAAAGTGGGGTCAACGCAATGCCCTTCCGGATGGTGAGTTCTCTTATGGAAACGGATTGTGAAATAAGCGGGGGTTGCTAAAAAGTAGGCTTGACTCTCGCTTCTCCCTTCCACCATGAGGCCTTCACCAGATGCCAAGCAGATTCTACCATCATCCTCTTACACACCCAGAAATGAACCTATTGTCTATTTCCTTTATAAATTACCCAGCCTCTGGTATTTTGTTATTGTAAAAGAAAGGAAGGAGAAAGAAGAAGGAAAAAGAAGAGAGAGATCGAGGAAGGGAGAGAGGGAGAGAGAATAAATTTGGGCATGAAAACCTCCTCTAGTGATAGATTAGATGTTGAAGTAAAACAAAATTTCAGAGTCAGAATATTTAAGACATGCTGGAAAAACTGGAGACAATTCCACCCTAAATAAACGGTATATCACTTTATTCTAATGAGAAATGGTTTGTTCTCTTTTTCTGTTGCTTTGTGTTCTTTAGTAACTGAATGCTTATATAGTTTAAAGATTTTTTTTTAAAGCATACCTGTATTATTCCTGACAGAAGTTCTATTAGGCAATAGTCGATTTTCCCAGCTGCAAGAAAAAGTAAACTTTGTGGCTTGCTAGTTTGAAATCTTAATCGAAGCGATAGCTCAGGGGAGACTTCTGTGATGTTGAGCCCCACGTAGCTTTCACCATAAAAAGATGCTATGGGGAAGGAAAGCACAGGTCAGGAAATTTGCTATACAATGACTACGCTCTTCATAGACTGACCCTGCTGAAGAAAGTTGCCTTGCCAAAGGTAAACTCCTGCTCCCAAGAGCGTCCCACAGACCCTGCACGGATTCACAAAGGCCCTGCTTTCTCTTTACTCAACTCAGGACAGCTGGGAAAAGACCGCTCTTCATCAGAACCCTCAAAAGGAGCAGCCAAGGCTTTCAATGATCCTAAATAGCAGTTCAAGTTCATCTACACAAGTCTGCTGGCTTGCCTTCTGCAGGGCTGGATTCCAAGTTTCCTCTAATAAACCTCTTGAATGTTAAGTTCCATCTCAGACTTAGCTTCCACAGAACCTAGCTGGCAGTAGGGTGGCCTAAGAAAGTGACTCTGGGAGGTAGCTGATGCTGGCCCACCCTCAACTGAAGTGACAGTTAGGATGAGTGTCACTGTCGTAGGTAGGGCCCAGGAAACCCTGGCAGTGACGCTGAGGTTCCACTGGTTATGAGCCGGTATGGCAGAGGGGGAAAAGAGCATGTACTAGTCCAGCTGCGAAACACTACGCAATAAAAAAGAGGACAAATATAATTATAAGAACAATGAAACGGGGTACTGATTGACAAGCTTGACTAAAACATAAGCTTTGGAGAAGTCAGTGTTAACCATGAACTATGTCCTTCTCGTTTCCCACAGCAGGGCAGAGGAAGTCAAGATTCATACCAAAGAACCAATCATTGGAGTAGCCAACTTCAAAAAGTCTAAACAAGCCCAATCTGATGAGGCAAAGGCTCTCGTTGGATGAAAGCAGGGCACGGGATTGGAACTCTGTGTGGGTGCAGTCAAGTGCCTTGACTCCTAGACACCCTGGAGCCCTCTGAGCCCACAGATGTAGATTATTCTCTACTCTACTCTGAGGCCAGCACTTCAGAGTTTGCAGAAGCCTTTAATACCAAGGTACCACTAAAGATAGACCTCTAAAGATAGCTAGGACAAATGGCAGGTCACAACCCAACCTGCCTGGGGTCATGGTTGGCTGGATTTGAGATGGACAGTACACATGCAAAGAGGGTATCCATATGATTGAATGTCTCTTGGCAATAAATAAATGACTATAGTCTGCCTCTCTCCCTCTCCCCCTTTCCCTCTCTCTTTTTGTTTCTCTCACCAGGCTTTCTTCTTGTAGCCCTGGCTGTCCTGGAACCAGCTCTGTAGACCAGGCTGGCCTCAACTCAGAGATCCACCGAACTCTGCCTCGAAAGTGCTGGGACTAAGTGTGTACGACATCATGCCAGGCTCAGCAGTGGCATGCCGTATATGTGTTGTGTGTAGAACACTTATGACAAGCAGGGAAGCAAAAGACGACACAGCAGTGTCGGAGAACCAAAGTCAATACAATACACCAGTGTAGGAACAAAATAAAATTAGAAAGAAAAAGAACATGGCAACAGGTTACCTCCAAGAAAATATATAATTCTCTAAACACTAGAATCTAAAGAAAACAACACTAATGGAATGCCCAAAATGACTTATTAAAAATAAGGAAGCTGAACTCAAGAAAATATAGATAAGTAAAGCAAGACCAGCAAAACAATACATCATGTTAGTGAGAAATTCAGCAAAAAAAAAGAATGTAATATATATGCACACAGTAGAGATTTTTTTAGCAATAAAGAACAAAGCTACGTTATTTGTAGGAAAATGGATGGAATGGAGATCCTAATGTTAAATGAAATAAGTCGGGCTCAGAAAAGCAAATATTATATGTTTTCTCTTATGAACAAAGTTTAGACATAGATATATGTCATGAAAGTAGAAGGGAAACTGAGAGAAGAAGAGTGCCATGGGAAGAAGGAAAAAATAGGAAAGGAAAAATGTGAGAAAATACACAACATACATGTATGAAAATTTCAAATTAAACCTACCATTTTGTAAAAATGAATAGACATTAGTAAAAAGACATTAAAAATATCTAAAACATAAAAAAAAATCAGCAAAGAAATGGCGATCTTGAAAAGAAATTAAACAGGAATCTTGGAAATGCAGAGCTCAACAAGTCATTTAAAAACTTGTCAAAATCCTCAACAACAAACTAGATCAAATAGAGGAAGGAGATTTGAACTTGAAGACAAATCTTTTGGAAAATCTCTATCAGATAAGCAAGAAGACTGAACAGAAGAAGAAGGAAGAGAAGGGGGAGGAGGAATGATGAAGAAAGCCTTCAAGAACTTTGGGACATCATTAAACATGCAAAGGTTGCATCCCAGAAAGGCCTAGGGAAATATATAAACAGGAAGGTATATAAAGTCTGTTAAATGACATAGTGGCTAAAACCATCCATCACCTTGTGAAAGATTTTGGATGTCCAGATATAGCACAGTCAAATGACCCAAGCAGATGTGTCCAGAAAAGATGCTCCCATCAACTGTATAGTCAAACTGTCGACATCACAAGACAAAAAGAACTCTAAACCTGGAAAGAGAGAAGTTCCAAGTCATACTTACGAGAATGTTCATTAGACCAACAGATTTTTTTTTTTTTTTATTTTTAGCAGAGTCGCACTATGTATCCCAGGCTGACTTCTGAATTCAAGACCCTGCCTCAAGCCCGTAAGTGCTCAGATTGTATTACTCAGGCATATACTACCATGTCTAGTTGCCAAACAGCACACCTCCAAAAAAATTTTTTTTCAGATCAGGAGAGAACAGGATGACTTATTTCAAATTCTGGAATAAATATCAACCAAGGAAAATACCAAGCAAGATTGCTGTACCCAACACAGCTTCCTTCATAAACAAAGGTTTGCAAAATAACTAAACACCAGGAAATTCATCACCATCAGGTGATCGGCCATGGAAAAGTATAAAATCTTCCAGTAAAATAAACACACAAAAGAGACACAGCAGAAACAACCCTTGTCAACATAACAAAACCACCAAACCATCAAGATGAATGAGTGGAAGAATAGAGCAAATATTACTCAAAACAAATAAAAAAACTGTCACAAGAGTAAGGCCTTACATAGATAGATAGATAGATAGATAGATAGATAGATAGATAGATAGATAATCTTGAATGCAAATAAATTAAATTCCCCCAATTAAAAAATAAAAACTGGCTGAATGGACTTAAAAAATAAAATAAAACAAAACAACATGCTACCTATGAGGAACTGACCTCACTGGTTAAGATGTGTGCAGATTGGAAATGAAAGCATGGAAACATATCCCACAAAAACAGAAACAAAAAAATCAGAAATGGCTATTCTCGAATGAGACAAAGTATATTTAAGGACAAAACTGCAAGAAGAAATCAAGAAAGTCAGAATATAATGACCAAAGAATCAATGAAACAGGAACACGTAACCCAGCCAATAGTCTCTGAAAGTTAAAGGCATTTTCCAACAAGTCAGATGACCCAAGTTCAGTCTGATCGTGTGACCTACACAGTGGAAAAAGAGACTCAATTCCAAGTGTTGCCCTATGATTTCCACACGCACACCATGGTATCACTCACATACACACACACACAAGTACAATTTTTACAACTTTAAAGACTATAAACAATTATAAGTACATACATACCAAGTGTAGAGGCACAGAATCCCGGCCCCCCCAAAAAAAATCACCACCATCATTAATAGAGCTAAAGAAACAGACAGGATCTAATCCTAACATCAGTGGGAGAACTCAATAAGACACTTTAACCAATGGATAGACCATCAACAAACATAATTACACTATACTCTAGATCAAATGATTCAGTAAACATGACAAGGCATTATGATAAAATATTTCTTACATTGTAAAAGACTGGAACTTTTGTTGGGTCTGACGGCCATAGTTGGTAGCTTAAGACTTAAGACTGGAACCAGCCTGTTTATTTAACATGCCTTTAACAGAATAATGAAACAACAAACCTTACCCGGCTTGTATTTCCATGTAATCAGCTTGTACAGCTGTACACAGCTGTAGTCTTAAATCATGTAATCTTCCTTGCCCATGACCCAGAGTAATGCGAGTATGTTATGATAATCCTTCTCTGGAAACAGCAAAAAGAGTCTGAAAGAAGCTTTATAGAATGAACATCCACCATAAGTGGTGGGTACAACATATGGATATTGTTTGATAAACAATAATATTTATTATCTGGGTCAGTTGGAGTCAATGACTTAATCTGTTGTAGAACTCTGTTAAAGGTTTCTACGAAGTATCCTTTGTTCCTTCCTTATATGATGCGTCCTGTGCTAGTCAATAAACACAGAGCAGAGCCCTTTGTTAGGAACACACAGACACGCAGAGACAGACACACACAGAGACACAGACAACCATAAAGGGACAGAAAGACATACACAGGGGGCAGGGGGCAGAAACAGGGACAGATTTACCAGACAGCTTTCAGGAAGGCACGGTTTCAGACTCATGAATCAGCTAGAAAGGAGGAAGGAAGACTCAGGGATGTTGAAGTAGAAAATTCAAATGCGTGTTCACTGTTGGTTAAATGACACCAAGGGAAAGTGTTCTGATTTCTTTCCTAAATGTGAACACCGACACATTATTAGTGAGTTTGAGCTCATTATTAATGTGTTCAAACCAACTACAAGCAGGCATTTTCAGAACATTTCATCCACAACAACAGAGTACACCTTTTTTTCCTTTAGCACATAGAACTCCCTTAATTGATCGATCATATATTAGGTTCAAAATAAATCTCAACAAATCAAGCAAAAATTGCATCAGTATCTTTTCAGATCACAAGGAAAACACAACTAGAAATTAACAACCAGAAACTGCAGAAGCTATGCAAATTCACTGAGACTTAACAAGGTGTAACTCAACATGACATGGCTCATTAAAGAAATCAAAGAGAAATTCAAAACTTTCTTGAAAGACGTATGAGTAGAAATAATCTAACAAAACTTATGGGTCACAGGGAAAGCAGAGGATGTGTCTTTCAAAATAAATGAAAGGTTTTAAACATGTACTCTAATGATA